CTGCAATTTCTTGTAATCCTGTCTACTGTCTTCAGTCCTTTCTATGTCCCACTTCTTTTTAGCTAGCCTCTTCCTCTGAATGCTGTCCTGTACTTCCTCGTTCCACCACCATGTTTCCTTATCTTCTTTCCTCCTTCCAGATGACACACCTAGCACCTTCCTACCTGTCTCCCTGATCACTTCTGATGTAGTTTCCCAGTCATCTGGAAGTTCTTCCTGACCACCCAAAGCCTGTCTTAACTTCTATCTGAATTCCTCACGACATTCTTCCTTTTGCAACTTCCACCACTTGGTCTTCTTTTCTGTCTTTCCTCTCCTCTTCTTCCTGACCACCAGAGTCATCCTACACATCACCATCCAGTGCTGTCTGGCTACACTTTCTCCTACCACCACTTTGCAGTCACTAATCTCTCTCAGATTGCCTTGTCTACATAGAATGTAGTCTACCTGCGTACTCCCGTATTAGGTTGTACCATTTAGTTTATCCTAATTACTTTAATTCGGTTTTCATATTCTAGTTATTCTGCATTTATTCTACTTTTATTCTATTTTAGTTTCTTAAATGGCATGGGCATTCAACATTATGTGAGAGAGAAACAATATTTAAATTTTTCTGTATGTCCTGCACATATAGTGAATTGACAATAAAAAATCTTAGATTTTTGACATCCAACATAAACCAACATTTTATGATACCATAAATTTGATTACTGAATAACTGTGGTATTAAACTGGAGTAAATGGAGGCAAAACTTCCAGAGGATCTCAAAATGATCTTCCTTCGGGTTCAGATTTAGGGTTTTCCTTTAGGTTCAGCCATGGGCCACTTTTCTACAGAGGTGCTCAATGAGAGGACTGTTGTAGTAGGCACACAGGTCTATACTGTATGTTTGCAATATGTTTTGTTAGTTTGAGTATTATTCCTATTTATTTGAAATAACGGAATCATTAATTAATTACTAAAAATGTTAGTTTTTGATTATATCTGAAGACAGATGTCATTTTTCCATTTTTAAGTACAGATTACTGATTTACAGTGTTACTCATCTGAAAAAAATTACTAATTAACATGAATGTCTGTTCTGTGTTTGACCATGAGATTGGAGACATAGGTACACATGTAATACAATGTGGCCTGTTTTATGGTCAAATGAAAGTACTGTGGTTGTTGTAGAGCCAGTCGGCTATTTGCTCGGCACAAGGAGGCAGGTTTGAAAAAAAAAAAAAAAAAAAAAAAAAAGAGGAGCTCGCACCAAAGCGTATGTGGACTGCCTGGCCCGATGGCACGATGGAATCAAACTGCTGTGTGAGCAGTGGCTCAGGAAGGAGGAGGGGTGGTGGAAGGAGGTGAAGCAGACTAAAGAAGAGATCAGTCTCCTCACCTTCAACAACAAAGAGCTTCAGGTACGACGCCTCAGCTGATTGTTTTATCTTGGTTGTTTTAGATAAACTAAGAATTCATGTTTGGATGTGTAATAAAAATGGTTTCTCAGGAGCTTTCCCTAAAAACACAAAAGCAGCTAGAGAACAGCATTAAAAGAAGAAGTACCATCTCTATTCTCTAGCAGCAGCAATACGTCAGAATAATAGCATCAAAGGATTACAAGATACTAACTCACAACATAAAATTAGCCTCTATGCAGATGATTTACTATTATATCTACAGGACCCCTACAGTTCACTACAAGAAACTTTATCCATTATTAATACATTCTCCAGGATTTCTAACTACAGAATAAACTGGAATAAATCCACCATATTGCCACTCTGAAGATGCCTGGGATTCTGCAGCTCAAGACTGTCCCCTACCACTTCACACTGGCAACATTAAAAATTTAGGAATCTGTATTTCCCCTAGGCTGTCAGAACCTTTTAACCTTAACTACACCCCTCTGCTAAAAAAGATAGAAGATGATTTCAAACGCTGGTCCAACCTCCCGCTGTCACTCATTGGCCGAATTGCTGCAGTCAAAATGAAAACCTTACCACAAATTAACTACCTGTTTTTTGCCATTTATCTGCTGGTGTTGTGCTTCCCACAACACCAGCAGATAAATGGTTCAAATCACTCAATTCTCTGACTTCGCAATTTTACTGGAACAATAAAAAACCCCAAATTTCCCTGTCAACACTCTGGAAGAACAAATCACAAGGTTTCCTAGAAGCACCAAATTTTGAGTATTATTAGCAAATCAATTAAAACATTTCAATGTTCAATGGATTCAGAAGGATAGTTGTAATAGCTCATGGATAGAACTAGAACAAAATCAATGCAAAAATACTTCAGTTGCAGACCGTGCCTTCCTACCATACTCAACTAAGAAAATGAACTATTTCAAAAATATCACAGTCTCTGCAACTCTGACAGCTTGGTGGAAAGCAAACAAAACCACTAAATTATCATTAACACCGTGTAGATACATTCCAATTTGGCATAACCCTGACTTTCAACTTCATAATAATCCCATCTACTTTCCAACATGGCAACACAAAAGAATCGCTAACCTTCATCATCTATTTGAAAACAACCAGTTTATACCATTTAATACATTAGTCCGGAAGTACAGAGTTGGGAGAGGAGAATTTCTCCAGTACCAACAGTTAAAATCCATAATTAAATCAAAGATCAATATAATCAACAACCCCCTGCAACCTTCCATGCTAGCTGAGGAGATAATGAAATCTACAAACTCAAAGAAGATAGTATCTAAACTTTATAAACTAATGTCAAATACAGATAGAACAATAACATTACCAGTGACTAAATGGGAAACGGATTTATCTCTCCCCAACAGCCCTGACTTCTGGACCGAGATTCTGGACCATGACTACCAATATAAACTTACAGCTTATATAATACAAGACTATTCACAGGACTCACATCACACAAGGTAAAATGTTTAAAATGGGTTTCATTGATATAGATACCTGTTCACAATGCACTCTGGATTGTGCCAATGATTACTTCCATGCTACTCGGACCTGTCAACCCGTTTACTCTCTCTGGATAGCGGTGACTGAGAAACTCTCCACCATCTTGAGCTGTAGAATCCCCCCATCCCCGTCACTCTGCCTGATCGGTAATATCACAGAAGTCAACTACCTACCAATTAAATATAAAAACCCACTTGTTATCTCTCTAACTATTGCCAAGAAAACAATGTTTCTAAACTGGAAACTAATGAAATGTGCTTAGCAGCTTCTGTCAAATTCTGCCATCTCAGGAGCTGAGGGTTTTAGAAGTGTGAATTTTGAGAGGCACAAAACACTGAACACATACAGCCTGCCTGTGCTTACCCTCACATCACTGGTGCCTCGCTACCATTAAAAATCCAGAAAAGAAAGATAACATTTACCGCTCTTAACAACCTCTGTCCATTTAAGACACAACCAAGGAGCTCAGTTAGTTTGGCTTCTTCACTGTGCTGGGGAGACGGAGCAGTCTCGACACAGCAATCCGATTCATTTTTATAAATATTAAAGAAAAATATACTAATTAAATTGTTGCTTTCTCTTGCTGTCTGAGTTTTCACGGTATTTAAGAGAGATAGCAATCGCTGCTATTAATCCCCTAATGGCACTTTTTCCATTTTGTATAAAGTCACAGACTTCTGGGTTTCCAGGATGGGAAATGAGCTTTGGCCTTGAGCTTTTGTCTTCACAGGGATGGATTGCAGTGAAGAGAGAGGCCTGACTGACAGAGAAACCCAACACCAAATAGCAAATGACAGTTTTCCACTGAGACACAGTGTGCGTGTCATTTAAAGGTGTATATGCATGTGCTGGGCAAAACTCTGTGTGTGTTTGTGTATGTATAGAGCAGAGAAACCCAGGCAACTGCAGGCAGTCAGTACCTAATACCTAACCTCACACTAACCTTAAACCATGTTGCCATCCTAAAATTCAGTGATTTCCTTGTGGGGACCAGCCTCTGGTTGGGATGGCTGAGTCCCCACAGTATAAGTGTGTTATCAGGTTTCAGTCCCCATAATGTAAGTAATACAAAGGCACACATGCACACAGTACACGCACTGTACATTCTGCAAAGCTATGCCAAATTTTAACTGAATGCATGGCCCTGTGACTTGTGTGAGAAAGTTGGAATGTGACAGAATGCCTGCCTAAATCTCTGGTCTTTGGGGACTACAGTTGGATCATTGCTAACATCTGATGCGTGGCTCTACATTGTCTTTACAGTTAACTGTTTTATTATGTGAACAAAGAGTCAGCAATAAAGAGGAGCCTCCCTTATAATTAAAGGCTTGCTTGCAAAACTGCTTTCATGAGGAAAACTGTATGCGTTATGAATTCTGAATAGCCACAGAAGTGCTATAATAACGATGAAAAAGAATTATCCATGTTGACTTATTGCCGTGGTTCTCAATGTGTGGGGCGCGCCCCACTAGTGGGGAATAAAGACATGACAGGTGGGGTGCAATGAACGGGGAAAATTAGAAATGGGTCATTAATATAAGTAAATTAAAATAACATCAGTTTGGGGCCAGGAGAAAAAAGTGGAACCATAGTTTGACGTTGGCATGTTAACTGCCGCGCAACAATATAAGGAAACATTCACACAGAGGGCCAATAGTGTACGTAGTGGGCATAATAACGTAAATGGATAAATGTGTTACATGGACCACCAAAGAAGCAGGTGATTCAGCGCAAGTAGACAAACGAACAACAGGCAGTAAGTCTTATCAACCAAAAAGCCAGCTGAAAAGAAAATACTGTATGATGAAGCCTGTCTTGCGCTTGGATTCATGGTGGGAATGGTGGGGGATGGAGGGACACGTGTGTCTTGTGTCTTAAAGCGCTGACAGCAGACAGCATGAGACCCAACAAATTAAGAAGACATTTAGAGACAACACACCCCAGTCAATTGCTGAGCAGCTCATTCTCCCTGTAACTGTAGACATGGTGTCGATTATGCTGGATGAAACAAGTGCTGCAAAATTGAAAACTATCCCCCTGTCAAACGATACAGTTGCACTTATATTTTATCAGTTTTCAACTTAGTGTTATTTGATATATCAATCAATTTGAAATTTTAAAATTGGCAATTTCGTTATAATTTTTTGACAAGTGGGGCTTGAAAATTCACCCACCCTCTTAAGTGGGGAATGACAAAAAATGTTTGACAACCACTGACTTATTACAACTCTCCCCCACCTCTCTGGGTTGGGGGAGAGTTGCCCCCTCAAGTGGAGGAGTTTAAGTATCTCGGGGTCTTGTTCACGAGTGAGGCAAAAATGGAGCAGCAGGTTGACAGACAGATCGGTGCGGCGTCCGCAGTAATGTGGTCTCTGTACCGGTCCATTGTGGTGAAGGAGCTGAGTCGTAAGGCGAAGCTCTCAATTTACCGGTCGATCTATGTTCCTACCCTCACCTATGGCCATGAACTTCGGATCATGACTAAAAGAATGAGATCACGGATACAAGCGGCAGAAATGAGTTTCCTCCGGAGAGTGACTGGGTGCACTCTTAGGGATAGGGTGCGGAGCTCAGTCACCAGTGAGGAGCTCGGAGTAGAGCCGCTGCTCCTCCACATTGAGCAGAACCAGTTGAGGTGGCTCGGGCACCTGTTTCGGATGCCCCCTGGACGCCTCCCTGGGTATTCCAGGCATGCCCCTCTGGGAGAAGGCTTCAGGGCAGACCCAGGACGTGTTGGAGAGACTATGTTTCCTGGCTGGCCTGGGAACGCCGTGGGGTTCCTCCTGAGGAGCTGGAGGAGGTGTGTGGGGAGAGGGAAGTCTGGGGGGCTCTGCTTAGACTACTGCCCCTGTGACCCGGGCACGGATAAAGTGGACGAAGATGGATGGATGGATGGACTTATTACAAGAGATGATGAGGTGTCATGATGTCCCGGTGGGTTACGGCTCAGGCACCCAGGATGTTGCAAGTATGAATCTAGTGTCATTACTGCTCTATCCTGCTTTGCTTTACTATGTTCGTCCTGGTCAGGTGCTTCTAAGTGCAGACGGGCTCTTCAAGATTATTGTACATTGACTGACTACATTTGTATTTAACTTCACCGACATATGAAAATTCATTGTACACCTTAAATTTGCAGGGGAGTACCTGTCAGTATCTTTGGTGACGTAGGGCCATGCTGACTCAGTAGAGGTTTTCGGACCATAGAAGTCAGTCAGGATGTGTTCCAGGCTGTCCTTATTTCCAGTCTTGTTCATTATCTGTTTAATTAGACTGGTGGAGATTGGCACAGCACAGTGAGAAGCATCTTCATCCTCCCTGTGGGACAGAGCACAAACACAATATCATTGCAGATTTTTCTAACAATATGTGGCTGAGTGTAACACAAAAAGCAATAGACACTAACTGGGGGTAGATAGTTTTAGCAATTCCCAACCATGCACCATCTCTACCCAACACTGTGCAGGTCCTCCTGGCAAACAGTGTGATATGTGATAGCTTGAGATGAAAACCTATATACTTTTAGGGTCAGTAAGGCACATGGTTGTTACCCACTGCTGTGTATTTTGTTAGCAAATCTGGTTTGGAAGCATATTTACTTATTTTATGTCAGAAACAATCCAAATATACTCTTTATTTCAATATAGTACAAGACTTCTCTGACGGCAGCTGACTATTCCCATTGTTTTGTTCGGCACAATTAAAGTGACCTCCAGCTAAACTCTGCTTTTACCCTGAAACCTCAAAGTGGATTGAATCTGCCTTTTGTTTTGGATCCTTCTTCCTGACATACAGTCTCGCCTTACAAACACTAATGCGCAAAGATCACAGTAAAAACTAAATAGCAGTAAATACTCCTATTGGATAACTCAGACACTGGTCAATTATGGCTTTACAACACGGAGAAAAAAAGAACTAAATGCAAGCACTGTAACGTCTTCTTCTCTTTCACTGGGCAGCATCCAGTTCCACTTGGCTAAAGCAAAGCAGCCCCTTTACCCCAGAGCAGCAGTTTATTAATAGAGCCCATTGTGCTATAAAAGGAACACAGAGGCTGTTGCTTATAGATCTGAGGCAAGACTGAGGAGAGGGACAAGGTGTTGACAGGAAGCTTTTCATCCAGAGCAGTTCCTGCGGGGGGAAACTGGAAGAGGCTTCTGATTATAACTCTCGGTTTTTTAATGCGGCGGTCAATATGTGGAGAGTAGGACACAACAGTTCTGGTTAAGACTTGTCTGTGCCTCTTGTGTAGCAGACCACAGCTATACTCCCCACCTCGTCCATTAGAGCCCACAACTATGTGTAATTACAGGAAGGAAAGATGATCTCTTGACCAATGAAGATTCAAGATTGGATCTATCTTAGGGGTTTGGGGTTGGGGGCTTGTGTGTGCGTGTACAAAACGTGTATGTGGGTCAAGGACCGTTTACAACTGTGGCTTCTAGTGTGTGTTTGTGAAGATGGAGCAGGATGAGGGATGGATTGAGTTGAGGGGACTATAAAGTTTGTGTGGTGAGAGGCAGTTTAGTCAGGGGATGGATCGTAAACACAAGGAGAACTGTGGTTACAGTGCAGAAAGACAAGACGCTTAGCAGTTTCTGAGCTTGCTTTTTGAATACACAAAAAGGATTTGTCTACGACAGGGGCCAAATATATCCTCTCTCACTGTATGGGTGCTCTGGTTCCTTTATTGCAGCTGAAATCAAAACAACCCTGTATCTAAACACACAACAGTAATAGCAAAACATTCTCTGAGGGGGAAGTCAATTTCAGTCAAAGTTTACTTTGTTTATTCAAATCACCACTATCTGCTACCAAAAGGGGCAATTTTTCTTCCATGGATTTGCATAAAACAACATAAACTACAGATTTACAGATAACAAACACAACTGTACACTGTGTACATATGGTAGCTATTTCTCCTGGAGTCATCCATACTGAAACATACATGCTACTGAAAGGCACTGTGGACCAAAACATCTGTCATTCATTGTATATGACATGATACAAGCTATAGTTGTGACGTTATTAGATTTGATATTAAGTTACAGACACAAAGCATTTCTTTTATGGAATGCAAAGATTTTGATAACTGATTCAGCTTAGTTGAGCCTGCTATAAGAAATCTTATAGAGAGCTGTCTCTTACAAGAACACACACTGACAAACTGGGACAGAGTAACAAGTGTAATAGTGATGTATGTGACAGACTCTGCGACCCAGTGATGGTCACACTTATTCTGGCATATAGCTAAACAAGACATTTAGAGACACAGACCACACATAGATGTGATACATAAACTATATACACTGCTCATCTGACCATGCAAACGTGTGTACAAGCATACAATTCTATCCACAAACATGCTAAAACATGGCCAAAACCCCGCTCTCAGTTAGGGCCTGTATCTCAGTGAGGTGCAATTATTGTCCAACTTGCCATGTTGGATTTGGAGCTGATAAACAGCTACAACCAAGCTGGCCTCCTGTTCCCAAGAAATGCGCCTGGATCCCTCTGGAGGATCATGTCTTCATGTTGGCTTAGAGAAGTCATAATTTGTTGAGAAAATCTTTAGTGTCTCCCCATCTTCTAATGGAGGTGTAACATCCTCATTACATACAGACCAGACTTAGACTTTGTCCTTTACAGCTGTATAAGCTGCTTGTTGAGGAGCTACACTGTAATATAACAGAAGACCTGCCAAACATGATGTGGCAGATGAAGGTCAGGCCTGTGTGGGATGTGTATAAAGGTTATATTATTGTGGTCATAAAGATTTTTGTACTTGCTCTTGTAGGACATATAGAGCCCAGGGAATTTTTTTTTTAGGTTGAAATAATTACAGTATACCTATATCACATTTATCTGACCTCCCTCCATGCTTCCTGTACACAAAAATGCCCATTTGTTTTCCTGTAAGAATCAGTTTTTTTTGTTGTCTTCTGTTTTTTACCTGGATTGGAAAGTGAGATGGTGAGTGAGGTCAGCCTCAGTATTCAACAGGGGTTCCTGGTGGCCCTGTCCAGGTATCAGCTGGCTCTCTCTGAGTCCCAGACTTCTCTTCTCTATATGGACTATTACCGGATCTGGCAGGTGGCTCCTCATGACAAACAGTGGACTGAAAACCACCTGAAACATGGGTTCACATACAACAATCATCAGTGAGATGTACTGCACAAACAAATGGAGTGTACTGACTTAAACTGGCAATGCAACTCATGAATCACTGAATGAGATGCTAATCTTACACGTCTTCATTTTGATGCTACAAATCCTACTACAAAGAATGTAATTTTCTTCTTGGACTAATCAGTTTTTTTCCACATATTCCAATACAATACACTGGGATTGAAAGTACAGCAGCAATAGTAAAAATAAACCGAAGAAGAATAAACAACCAAACCTGGCTGGTCTGATCATTTCATGTCCAAATATGTCAAAGGAATTGCTTCAAAATGTCCTCTGTACCGTATGCGTATGAGTTGGTAATGCTTTGGTATGATGTCGTTTTCTATAATATATAACCTAGTAAGAGTTGGGGAAACCCAAGCATACTGTTCGGCTGTGCAGTAAATCTCCATAAGCTTCATCAATGTGGGTGGTCATCTAAAGATTGGGGGTGCAACTGTAATACTAACTCACAGATGTCAAGACAAAACCTTAACGTTGCCTACAATGTGGAGATAAACACTGTGCATGTAAGTTTGTGTACATGATACTCACCACTCTCTGCTGCATATGAGAGTCAGGTTCAATAGTGATGAGAGTACACCACACGTAGAGTAAAGAACCACTGGAACAAGGCACCTGAAAGTACACGAGCTGGCTGTTAATGATAGCAAGAATTATCAAATCAACTGTCCAACCCAAACATTTTAACAAAAGATATTTAGACAGGAGAGGGGCAGCACGGTGGCGTAGTGGGTAGCGCCGTTGCCTCACAGTGAGAAGGTTCCAGGTACGCAACCTTTCTGTGCAGAGTTTGCAGGTTCTCCCCATACTTGCGTGGGTTCTCTCCGGGTACTCTGGCTTCCTCCCACTGTCCAAAGACATGCGGCTTAGGTTGATTGGTGACTCTAAATTGCCCGTAGGAGTGAGTGTGTGTGTGTGTGTGTGTGTGTGTGTTTGCGCTTGCTCGTCTGCGTGTTGGCCATGCGATGGACTGGCAACCTGTCCAGCGTGTAACCCGCCTTTCGCCCAATGCTGACTGGGATTGGCTCCAGCCCCCCCATATACAGTAACTTTGTTCCTTGGCTTCTCCTGCTAGTTAAAAGTTTCTCTAAAGCCCTGCAACACAATATCAAAGCTGAGGTGACTGACAGCTGTTAGTGTTAGGTAATGGGCCATTACATGCAGTTAAAACTTAGCAAGATTTAAAGGCTGATGATGCGCTCAGCAAAGAATTTTAATGTGTCACTGGTGTTTGTCTCATTTACCCCTTGGACCCCATTAAAGTGTTGGGAGGCCAAGGCACATTACCAGTGGTCTAGTTTATGACAGAGTGAACATCCAGTTTTAATATACAGACCCTTGCAAAAAACAGCCTGGTTGGGACAAGGGAGTGAAACACTGGCAAACAGATACTCTACAGGCCTGATCAGCCAAAAACACTCATCACTGGGATAAGGTCACAATGACCTGTGCTTTGTCAAAAGTAAAGGACAAGGGCAAAAAAGATGCTGAAAATAAAAGTTAGGGAGGAGGAACATGAGATATGGAAAAGAGGAGTTACTTCAGATGGATGACTAATACAGAGAATCAGAAGTCAGACAAGAAAGGAGACAGATGAACAGGTGGACAAGTTGGATGCCAGAGGATAAAGTAAATCAAGAGGAGTTAACAACTACAAGATAGATGAGTGAGCCAGCGTGTGGGCGAGAGAGTCAAAGAAAGGGAGGAAACAAGAGTGAAACAGCAGGAGACGCAGATAGAAAGATCTAAGGACCCAGCTACTAGTCCAGGCAGCTCTCTCATTCGGAGCCAAGCCTCCATATGTGTAATGAATGGCTGATCTGAGGAGAGGAGATAACAGTGGAGGTTGGAGTGGAGTCAGAGATGTTCGAACCCAGACACAGAAGCTGGAGCTGGACAGTGGCTAGCTGTTGACAGCAAGAGGCTTTTAAAGATAGAAAACAAAGACAGGGGCACACAAAGACAGAGAACAAGAAAAATAAAGAAGAGGAGCAAGAATAGCAGGGAGGGAGAGGAGTGATCGTCTGGCACTAATCCAACACTTTCAAAGTGCCTTCAAAGCCTTTCCCTGTGCCAACATATCAGCTAGTGTTTCCAGTCTATGGTTAGTGCTGTTATGAGAGAGTATAAACTGTATTCCCTGCCTCTCACCGTGGCTGAGGAGTGAGCTGGAGGGCCTTGGTAAGCCTGTCTGAAGAAAAGATCTCAATCTGTTCTCAAACACTGAGTATCTGTGCAAGCTCTGCCACTGTGGCCACCCAGGAGAGGAGGATCCGGTCACAGTTGGTGGTCCAGCCACCAGCTCCAAACATGTGTATGATGGAGAGCTGGTTGCAAGTGGTGGTGTGTACAATGTGCATGTCACAAGCACATACAGCTTTCACTGGGACAGTCAGCCCCTTCTTTCTGAAGCTATTACACTACAAAAGTTACTGAAAAGGGGATGGATGCAACAAAATTTCCAAGATGCAGAATATCCCTTGGAATACAGGTAAATCCATCATAAGGATTGGAAGGAATATAGGACATGCATAAATCTGCCTAGAGCAGGTTGTCCTCACAAACTGACTGTGCATGAAGTAGACTAGTGAGTGAGGCCACCAAGACACCTATGACTACTCTGAAAGAGTTACAAGCTTCAGCAGCTGAGATGGGAGAGACCACAACTGTTGCCCAGGTTCTTCATCTGGAGAAAGGTTCTATGCGCTGATGAGACAAAAGTCTAGCTTTTTGGCCATCAGACGCTATGTTTGGTGTAAACCCAACACTGCACATCTTTACAAACACACCATCTTCACCGTGAAGCATGGTGGTGGCAGCATCATGCTGTGGGGATGCTTCTCAGCATCAGGCCCCGGAAGGCCTAAGAAGATAGAGGGCAAAATGAACACAACAATATATAGTGACATCCTAGAGGAAAAGCTGATGTAGTCTGCAAGAGGACTGCAACTTGGGAGAAGATTTGATTTCCAGCAAGACAATGATCCCAAGCATGCAGCCAGACCTACACACAAATAGATTAAAGACAACAATGTTAATGTTCTGGAGAGGCCAAGTCAGAGCCCAGACCTCAATCCAACTGAGAATTTGTGGCTGGACTTGAAAAGGGTTGTTCACTCAAAATTCCAGTGTCCAGATGTGCAAAGTTGTTTGAGACCTATCCGAACAGGCTCAGTGTTTCTGCCAAAGGTGCATCTACTACACTAATTACTCACTTGCAGATGAATCCTTATGCAATCAATTATTTACTGTCTTCTGTTTTAAATGAATATACTTTACTTTGTTGAGATCTGTTTTCATTTTAACATCAAAGGTAGGTTTTCTGTTGATCAGTGTCAAAAGTATAGTTGGCCTAAAGGTTATGTGGCATGTGTATGAGTAGGTAATGCTTTGGGATGACATAGTTATCAGTAATATATTGCTTTCGCTACCCAGCAAGAGCTGAGCAAACACAAGCATACTGTAAAATTGTATAAGACATCACAGTAAGCTTAACCAGTCTGGGTGTTAATCTAAGAATTGTAACTGTAACACCAAAGCTAACAGACATCAAGACAAAACCTTAATTATGCCCACAGTGTGGAAATAAACTCAGTCCAAGTGTTTCTGTGCTAACATACCTGTACAACAGAGCTGCTGCTTCCTTTGTCTCGCCTCTCCAGCTGAACATCCTGGGACCAGTCTTCATCTCCTCGAGCTCTCACACACAGCTCCGTCATTTCGGCATCCTCCAGCACATATGAAGGCAACTTGGTCCCAGCTTCCAGGCAATCACAGTGTTCCCTAACCACTGTCTGACTGTCGGGCCCTACGTAGTGCTGCACCACTCGCAGTTCAATGTCCTGAGTCAGGTAGCTGCACATCACCTGCCGCCCACAGATTATTACCTGAAGTTAAAAAAAAAGAAAAAAGAGGATAATTGCTATATTTAGACATAAAATAATGAATCCTGTGTAGAAGGCAACAGACACAATCAGTGAATAGGGATATTCTGTAGCCTGCAACCCTATAATGTCTTCAGAACGAAATGTGCTTAAAGTCCCTGTTCAGAATTTGATTGTAGCATATCAAAGGGAGTCGACATCTAAACTTTGATCACAAGCAAAGCAGTGTTTGTCCAGCTGTTTATATGCCCAGTCCCAGGGCATGATGCCTTTGTAGTGGCACTACTGCTATCTATGTACTTACTGTACCAAAGTTTTCTAAGGTCCCTGTCTATCACTTCATATACAGCAAGCACATCTGAGTGCAGACACACATGCCACTTTTCCTTTCGTCTTTGTGAGCAGGTTGCGAATAGGATTTGACCTGGATCATGTCATAATGCCATGAGCCCTGACACTGGCACAATTATTCATCTCAGCTGATATGACTTTTGTATCATCATGAAGGCCTATGGTGACATGTTTGTCCAAATACACTAATATAACTAAACTACAGATGGCTCACCTCAGTTACATTGAAGAGTTAGGTTCATTAGTTTACACACTGACTGTATATCTGCCTACACACTGCCTGTTTATCTGTGGTACAGATATACAGGCAGTGTGTGCTTGCACAAAGCGAAGTACAAAACAGCCAAGCCGCAGCCACCACGGAGTTGCCATCAGTTACTGACACAACTAATTAGGCTCAAAATTGATTGTTTCCACCACCCTCTGTGAGTGTGTGTTTAGGTCTTCGCATGTGAACGCACAGCTGTGTTTGTTTGGCAGGTTGTGGCATTAATAATGAGCTTGGAGGGAAAGATCTTGAGCCCTAATGAGAGAAATCTCCCCATCAATCATCAGTTGGTGCACAGCAGTTAGTGTAGTTAGAGCAGCTAGCTGTATTAAACACAACAAAATACACTTTCTTTCCCTCAGTGCCCATCTTCACCTTGCTAACACACAGATGTACAAAAAGAAAAAAAGAGAATGTGAAAGCAAGTTTTAATAAGATTGGAAAAAGAAATACTGAGTCACAGAAGTTGAGTCCAATAAGAGTTTCAGAGATCAAGAAAAAGAGATTTTACACTTAAAAAATGCATGTCTCTTGTCTGTGTGTGTGTGTGTGTGTGTGTGTAAGTAGAGAATGCCTGTGTGTAGATGTGTGTGTTGGTGTGAGTCAATTTCCTTTGTAGTGTCACCCACTGTCCCACTTGGAGGCTTTGTGTTGTGAATTAGACCTGACCAGAGCTCATACCCCAACACAAGATCCAATGGGAACAAGTCTGGGACAGACAGAAGAAGGAATGTGAGAGGCAGTCTGTTTTGTCTGGAAGATGCAAGGGAGACATGTGCGACACTTGACATCATTTACATAACAAAGTGTCACAGCTGTAATCTCATTGCATCTCAGCATCTGAGGAATACAGCAAGTCTGTATCTTGTATCTGTGGGAAACTCCAAACATGATTCACAACTGTTCTTGGTGTAAAAAGGCAAATGCAGCTGGTTTATGATTTCTTGTTGTCTTTGCGAACTGACAGGGCACATTGTGCTTTTGGATGGTTTCAAGCTCACTACCTTTTGTGTAAGAGCTATAAAACAAAAAGAAAATACAGCCAGTTGTCTGATGAGATTCAAAGATTAAAAGATAGTCATCTGAAAATTAATATTGGGAATAAGACCAAACCTACCACATGACACATAACAGCAGTCCTGCAGAAAATGTGTTCCTGCTTTTTCACTTACAAGCAGCAAGATAATCTGCAGGATCTCTATATTGTTGATTATGGCGAAAATGTTATTTTCTTGTTTATTGTTGTGGTGCATTTACTTCACAAATCCTTAATTGTCAATAAAAATATTGCTGCTAATACTGTGAAAGTGTTATGGCTTGGATTTTCTGTAAATTAAATTGGGGCAACTACAAAGCTCCTGTTACAACTAGCCCAATTAACCTTGATGTGGCTATAAGAAATGTAATGTGTATAAAGTTTTGCATGCCAGAAAATTTCTACCAGGAAATACCAAACGCCATGACAACTAAGTAAACTTCATCTGCTGAAGAAGCCGGTGAGACGGTTGAAAGCTTCAGATAAAGCCAAAAAACAGTGTATTAAGAGTTTTCATGTCAAACTAAACATGTTATTAAAACTGTAAATGTGACTTTGATTTATACTCATATTTATGTCTGACATTTGGAATAATGATATGCAGTTAATGTTGCTGACACATTTTTATTAAATAATATATATAATATTTGGTTAATGATGCTTGCAGGATGAAGAATGTAAATATGTTTACTTTAATACTGAATGAGAAGTACCTGTTTTTGGACACCGTTGAGCTGCACCACCTTGATGATGAGTGAGGCGGTGCGTCCCTTGTACTGAATAGTCCTCAGCAGAGTCCCTACGTTGTTCACGCTGAAGGCCTCTGACCAGCGCCAGTTCCCCCATCCCTCAATGCAGATGTGCAGCAGCTGCAGGATGGGACAGAGCAGGACAAGCACAAAAACAGAGACAGAGGACACCAGACATCAGAGGTCTACTTGCCCTTTATTTATTCCTGAGCAAACAGCAAGTAAACAGCAAGGTTCTTTGTTTACAAGTTGTTTTGTTTACTGGCGCTGAACATGCCTGCTGCTGTTGAAAGCAGAAATGGAAGGCTGCACACAGTAAACTGGCTGGTGGAAAACAGCTGATGTAGAAGCTCATTATGGCTGCAGTTGTGTGTGTGTAGTGTACTTGTGTGGTTGGATGTGGAAGATTGTTCTCCACACATATAAATAAGAGGCAGATAGCTTGCTTCTCTACATTTTCAGCTTCATATCCATCACGTCAGTGTGAAGCAAATCCATGTGTGTGGCTGGGTGTAAACACTGACTCAGGAGGACAGCAATAAACAGACCCTGTCCTATCTTTTGATATTCAAACAACTTTGTAGTGGTGACAATTCCCTTACCATTTTCCACATAATTCGTTGTATTGTTGGCCACAACATGGCAGCAGGGCTGAAAATATGTAAGGAAGCATATTTCCTAAAATAACTGTGTCTGTCTGCAAACAGTCTGGATACTGGCATTTTTTTCTCTATTATTCAATCCAGTGTATAGCTTTAGTGTTGCAAAGTTTGTATTCCTGCAGCCTTTGCTGCATGCCCCCACCATCCACCTAAATCCATTCATAAAATATGCTGTACAAATGGCAAGTGGGCTAGGCAAATATCCATACATGCATAAAGAACATCAAACTCTGATCGAGTTTGTCATCGGTCTACTTCTCACTACAGGACTGCCGACAAGGAAACACATTTATCAAACAAAGTGAGCACTATCGTGAAATCATGGCCACAATACTAGAGCAGAATAATAAATATGAAGGGAGATCTAGAACCTTCTCCCCTCAGTCAGGTGGATGACCTTCCAACCTGACAAAACTCTGTCAGCCCCACCGTCAACACAAGTTCAAACTTTCAACAGTAAGAAGGGGAGGGGCGGAGAACGTGAGAAAGACCAAGACGTATGGGAGTGATGGACAGGTTCAACACCCTCCCAGAGGAGCAGTGACCAGACTGAAATGCTGAAAAGCATTTTTGAAGATTTACAAAAATGTAGACAATCTGTTTAAAGAAAAACAAATTACTCCTAATGTCAAAGAGCACGGAGAGGCCCTGGTCAAGACCTTCTATGTTTCTCTCCACTGCAGTCTTTCTGCACTGTTTGAAGGCAGATTTCCTTACAAAAACATTCTTAATCAAAGCCTGAATTCACTTTCTTCAAGATCATCCCTCCTCCCTGTTGGCTGAGTGAAAATGACATAATTTCTCAGATTGCCTGCTCAGAGGACTTGGAAAGTGGCAGAGTGGTGTAAACAGCCAGGTGGCAGGGGTTAAGGTTAAGCCTAGGGGTGGAGAATCATTAGATGACTCCCTAAACCAGCACTAACATTATAATCAAGACCAGGTAAGATCATGGTGGTTTGAAAATAACCGTACTTCATGATTTTCTGCCATTCTGCTCCCAGTTGCTCTTTCAGTGACCTGGTACTGAATGAGAAGGAAGCTTCAACTTTAAAACTTGGCCTTAGCATTCAGTATTAACCTCAGTCCTTA